CACAGCCATTATTGAAATAAATAGAAATTCCTTTTAAAAATTAAAATTAGAAGTGTCACGTGACCAAGAAACCTCTTTTCTGTGTGTATACCCAAAGGAGGTGCATCAGCACCTCACAAGCATATCTGCATCCTGTGTCCAGTGCAACATTGTTCACATTAGCCAAGGCATGGAAACAACCTAAGGGTCTGTCAGTAGAGGAATGGATAAATAAAAGAGATTCTACCATTTGCCACAATATAAAAAATCTTGGGGGACATAAGAGAGCAATTGAGAAAAACTAGTTGAATGAAACCAGGAATTGATGACTCGGGAACCCTCAGCCTATCTAGATTTCAAAAGAAACTAAAATTAGAAGAGTCATTGCTAGGAAAGTATGCTCTGAAGAGAAAGCCAAGATTGAGGCTAGACCAGATGGGGCATGGGGAGATTCTCATCCACGGCTGTGGGAATGTGAAGTGATACAGCCACTCCAGACAGAAGACAGCCTTCCAGAGTCCTAGAAAAGTGGACACACTGTTTCCGTGTGATCTAGCAGTCACGCTTCTCGCTATTTCCCAAATGAGTTGAAAGTTTATGCCCACACAACATCCTGAACACAAATAGCAACTTTATTCTTAATTGCCAAAATCTGAAAGCAACTAGGATGAATGAACAAATAAAGTGTGGTACACCCAGACTGTGGAATATCACTTATTGCCAAAAAATTACCTATCAGATGAAAAGTCACGAAAGAAATGCATGTGTGTGTGTGTGTGTGTGTGTGTGTGTGTGTGTGTGTGTATTTAACTGGGGATTGAAACCAGGGCCTCATGCATGCTACATCCCTTTTTCTTCTTATTTTAATTTGAGACCATCACCCTGCTAATTTGCCAACACTAGCCTCAAACTAGCAATTCTCCTGCCTCACCCTTCTGAGTTAACTGGGAGTATGGGCATATACTACCAATCCCAGCTCCAGGCATGGAAGAAACCTACATGTATACTAATAAGTTAATGAAGCAAAATCAAAAAGGATATTTACTACATGATTCTAACTATAGGACTGACATTCTCAGAAACAAATCTACAATGATATTATTTGGCTCTATGAGTTCCAGGAGTTAAGGAGAAGGGATGAATGATTATGTTAAGCACACAGAATTTTTGTGTTTTCTGTTTTGTGTAATGCTATAATATTGGATTTATGTCCTTTTACATTTCTCAAATTCGTAGAATGTATATTGCCAATAGTGAACACTAATGCAAACTACGGACTTTGGGTGATAAATATGTAACAGTCAGAACTTTTGACCAGTGCACTAATTAATGAGGGCTTTTAGGGTGTAAGGTTGTGCATCTGTGGGAACAAGGCATTTGGAGGAACTGTACTTTCCACTTTATTGTTCTGTGAAGGTAAAAGTGCTCTAAAAATCTGTGTTAATGAAATAAGCCAAGCACAAGAAGAAAAATTCTACATCTTGTCATATAATACAGAAACCAATACAAGTTGACTTAATAGAAGTAGAGTGTGGAATAGTGCTCATTGGAGACTAGGAAGAATAGGCCAAGAAGGGCATAGATAGAAGTCCCGAATCTATAAAGAACTTAAAAAAAGAGACCTCTCAAATTTAAAGACCAAATCCAAAAATGGGCATCTGAAATGAACAGACATTTATCAGGCAAAAAAGTAGAAATAGCAAATAAATACATGAAAAAATGTTCAACATCACTGGTCATTTGAGAGATGCAAATGAAAGCAACACTGAGATTCTACCTCACTCCAGAAAGAATGGCTGCTATCAAGAAATCAACCAATAACAAATGCTGGTGGGGCTGTGGGGAAAGAAGAACCCTTCTCCATTGCTGGTAGGAGTGCAGACTGGTGCAACCACTGTGGAAATCAGTATGGAGATACCTCAAAGAACTAGGACTGGAAGTCCCATTTGACCCAGCTATTCCTCTGCTGGGTATCTTTCCCAAAGAATTAAAAGAATCATACCACAGTGATATATGTGGACCCATGTTCATAGCAGCACAATTTGTAATAGTTAAAATTTGGAAACAGCCCAAATGCCCATCAACTAGAGACTGGATAAAGAAAATGTGGGGTTTTTTGTAAAATGGAGTACTACTCAGCCATAAAAAATGAGAAATTTGAGCCATTTATTGCAAAATGGATGCACATTGAGGCGATACTCTTAAGTGAAATAAATAGGACACACATGTATAAATATCAAATAGTTTTTCTAGTGGGAGAAACTGAAAGTGTAAATAAGGACTAAAAGGTATAATAGATAATGTGAAATAGGAAGAAAAGTGGCAAAGAGGAAGGGGAAGTGGGAGGGGTAGGGAAAAGGAAAGAAGGGAATGGAATTAATATGAGAAAATGGAAAAATGCAAACAAAGTCTTTGTAAATGGAGAGGGATGGAGGGGTTGACGGGAGAGCAGGGGAAGGGGGAAAAATAAGAACCAAAAGAGATTATGTAAAGGTGCAAATTTCCAATGATGAATGTCATTATATTGTATACCTAAGATGTACCAATGATTAGAATGAATAATTGATAATCCGAAATAGGAAGGAAAAGTTCCAAAGGGGTAGGGGAAGTGGGAGAGGCAGAGGAAAGGAAAGAAGGGAAAGGAAAAATTATGAGAAATGGAAAAAATGGAAACAAAGTCATTCTAAATAGGGAAGGGTGGAGGGGGTGAAGGGAAGGCTAGGAATGGGGAAAAAATAAGAATCAAGATATATCATGTACTGGTATAAGTCCCAGTGAGAAATGTAAATGTGTTGTATACCTAAAATGTACCAATAAAAGAATTTTTAAAAATTATTGTTCCTTGTAAAATGGTACAATTAAACAATAAAATAATATTTTTTAAATAGTCTATTAAAAAAGAAAGTATTGTGTATTATCCAGCTTATTGTTTTTATAACAAGATATCTGAGGCAATTAACTTATAAAGAGAAAAGGCTTGAGCTCACAGCTCTTGAAGTTTCCATCCAAAATCAGGGGAATCTCTAGCTTTGGGGATCTGGCAAGGTACCCTGAAGATTCCCCTGCCTTCTTCTAGTGCCACCTTAGGCACCAGGCTCTAACATATGGGCACTTGAAGGTCCTCGTTCAACCTACAGCAAACTCAGGGTCAACTCTGAGTCTAGAGGATGAAGTGAGGGCCACAATGATTATGTCCAGGTCTTGAGACTCAACAGAGCTCAAGATTGGTTAGATTTTGTAATTTCTTTGGACCAGTGATATTTTTCCCCTCTTATTGCTTTTAGGGTTAGAACATTAGAAGAGCAATAAAACTGATTTCTGTTTTATTCCCAACATTGTATTTGGAGAGTAGATAATTTGTGTTCTAGTTTCACAGGTCTACAAATGTTGTGGAACTTTGCCTTGGTATTGATCACATCCCAGAAATCCAAGTATGTTGGATTTAGATGAAGGCAGTTTGCATGTGGGATGTACATGAATGTTTGGAGGCTATGAAGACGGTCTGAATAATGCCCCCTTTAAGGTGCCCATGTCTTGGTTCTTGTAACCCATAAATGCTAATTACAAACAAAAGGGACTTTGAAGATTTAATGAAGTGAGTGATTTAGATATGAAGACATTATCTTCATTTATCTAGATGGGCCTGATATATAATCCCAAGTCTCCCAAAATGGAATCACAGGGAAGAAGAACTAGAGAAATGATCATGTGATGGTGGAAGCAGAGTCTAGACTATTGTACTTTGAGCAGAAGGAGACTGTGATTATTAATTTTATGTCAAGTTGGCTAGGCTAGAATGCCCAGATGTTTGGTCAAACACAATTTCCAAAATTGCTGTAAAGGCATTTTTAGATGCGATTAACATTTAAATCAATTGGCTTTGTGTAAGGCAGGTTACTTTCTATAATGCACATGGACATCATCCAAACAGAGGAAAGCTCTCAAAGAAAAAGACTGAAGTTCTTCCAAGAAAGTAGAAATTCTGCTTCCAGACTAGCTTCAGACTCAAGAATGCAAAATCAGGCCTTCCCTGGAATTTCAGCCTGCTGGAATTCCCCACAGTTGGGTCAGTTAATCCCTTGAAATAAACCATTCCATGTGTTTGTTTCTGTCTCCTCTTCCCTATATATTCAAATATGAAAGATAAAGCATATATATATTTACACAAATATAAATATACATATGTATCTATATCTACAATAAATTTCTCTAGAGAACTCCAATACAGCAACATAAATTTAAAAAAACATCAACAGTTTCTATGAGTTGAATAAGACAAGAAAGCGTAGTGTGCCCTAGGGTATCCAGATGGTTTTACTGATGTGTTGAATTTAGTCCAAGTTAACTAATTTTGGACGGCTGGCCTTTAGAACAGGAGCAGAATATATCTGTAATGTTTTAAGCCATCAGGTTTGTGGTATTGTCTTATACCAGCTGCTGTATTTTGGATATGTTTTGAGTGCATCCCCCTAGGGTTCATGTGTGGAAAACATGGTCCCTATGTAGTGAGGTTGAGAGGTGGTGTGGAACCTTTAAAAGGTGGGGCTTAGCACAAGGATGCTTGGTTATTGGGAGTGCTGCTATTGGGAAGAATTGAAGTAGCCTTTGTGGGACCCTGTAGTTCTCAAGATAGGCCACAAAAGAGCAAGACAGTCCTCCTACCCATTCTCTGGCTTCTCATCTCTTTTGCATGTGACTCCACCATGATGTCATCCACATGATGTGACCCAGCCTGGGAGGACTTCAATAAGACTGATACTTTGCTTTTTGGATATTTACCTTGCAAAATCATGAGCTAAATAAATCTTTTTCTTTATATACAACATAGGCTCAGGTATTTTGTTATAGCAATGAGTGGCTAATAGAGTGGCCATTGCAAATGAATAAAAATATTATGCTCACTTAATTAGAAAAATATACTTTTTCTAAAATATGTTTAATATATATTATTAATATTTTTCCCATGGCTGAAAGAAAAAATATAACAGGTCAACTTGTATCTACATTTACATTATTTTGGCCTGCCTTTTTACTCCAGTTTTTGCTGTTTGCAGGTATAATCTCACTTCAGCTGAATGGAGTAACTTCTTTTCCTGAGTTTCTTTTCTGTTGTTCTGGGGGAAATCACCAGAAAACACTGTAATACAGGAAAAAAATTGTAATTATGGGAGAGTTAAATCCAATATGGCTACTCTTAACCAATGAGTGATGGAAGCAACTAGATAAATTCTTTACTCTTGAAAACAAAGGAAATATATGAGCTCTTCCTACATGTCTCTTTCAAGACACCTAGAAAAATGTATAAAATATCATAGATGTCTGCTGTGGTGATTAGCATAACTTTGTTAGATTGGCCTGCTGGTTTTCATTCTTTCTTCCTTCCCTCCTTTTCTCCTTCCTTCCTCCCTTCCCTCCTTCCTTCCCACCTTTACTCTTACCGCTTAGAGTCACTTCTAAGACCAAGGTATCTGAACTATCTCCATGTAAGCCATCATTTCATACCTACCTTTGGAGGTAATTAGCCTAATTTGCTCAAGAATAGCAAAGGCCCTAGAAAACTTTCCATCAGGATGGGATCTTGCAACTAAAGTACTCACCAGTCACATTGCAGTAAGGCCCGTGTTGCTGGTGGTAAATGGATAACAACTCCCGCATATAATTACAATCTGTACTAAGAATTGTACCAGTCATCAGTTGGGATACGGTGCAAGTAGAAGGTGAAGTTTCAGTCTCCAAGGCAGTATTAAGTGATGACATTTTAATTAGAAAAGAGAGACAGTAATTCTTCAGCTTCACCTTTGGCTGATTTTTATTTACAACTTCAATAGCTTTGTTAAAAAATAAAATAAACTGAGAGACTTAGACAGTTACACTGGGAAAATAAGGAAGCCTTCATGGAAACATTCAGAGATCCTCTCTCCTGCAGTTACACAGACTCAAGATCCAATGTTAGAGGAAGCAGAGCTACTGAGGAGACTGCGTAACTTCAAAAGGTCTGTTACCAAGACCAGGTCCCGACAGAAAAAGAATGACAAAGAGGCCTTCCCCTTTGGATCTTTTCTTCCTATTTCACATTATCTATTATACATTTCAATCCTTGTTTACACTCTCAGTTTCTCACACCAGAGAAACCTTTTGGTATTTACACGTGTGTCCTATTTATTGCACTTAAGAGTATGGCCTCAATGTGGATCCATTTATCTATAAATGCCTCTAGTTTCTCATTCTTTATGGCAGAGTAATAATCCATTTTCTTAAAAATAAACACATTTTCTTTAGAGTAGGAGAAAGTAATAAATACAAAAAAAAGGAAAACATGGAAACAAAGTCTTTGTAAATAGGGAGGGGTGGAGGGGTTGAAGGGAGGGTAGGGCAATGGGGAAAAAAATAAGCACCAAGATGCATCATGTAAAGGTACAAATGCCCAATGATGAATGTCATCATATTGTATACTGAAAATGTAGCAATACAATCAATTTTTAAAAAGCTAGTATACAGGTTCCTCAATACTTGGAGGAAAAACAATTCACCATATTGAGTTCTGTAAGAACAATCTTTTCAAGGAAAGCAGAAGCACCCTGGGGGAGCTCTCTGGTCACAGATTTCATCTAAGGGGAAATACATAACTCTAAAGCTCAGCTGAATTACATTGGGCAAAACATTTTCCTAAAAAAAAAGAATGACAAAGAGGGGATTTCTTGCTTTACCTCCATACTAATAAATATATTCAACATGAGCAGGTAATGAAGGAGGAAGTAGAAGAGAGAAGAAAATGGAATAAAAGGTTAACAATAGGTAAATATGTACCAAAAAAAAAAAACATAAAAAGGCCGGTAACTTAGCTCAGTGGTTCTGCCGCCTGCCTCGCAAGTGCAAGATCCCAAGTTTGATCTCCAGTACCAAAAAAAACCAAACAAAAATAGGTAAATATGGGTAAAAGTTATATGGATATTCTTTTTTGTGGGGGGGGGGTTACTGGGGATCGAACTCAGGACCTTGTGCTTTGTGAGGCAGGCGCAGAGCCACTGAGCTAAATCCCATTCATTTTTACTGTCTTCATTTTTCTAAGTTTTAAAGTATTTCCAAATGAAAATATTAGAAGTGCATAGTTTTCAAACTGTACTTTAAAGAAATGAAGAATCAGCTTTTCCATAAGCATTTCCTAACTTCTTCATCCCTAAGAGGAGCCAGACTTAGGCACATGTTCTTTGATTAATTTAAAGAGTTTGAGATCTTTGAAAACTCATATTCAACTTCCTCCAAAATACTTTAGAAATAAGTTTTAGATGATTAGTTGAATGAGGTCCTCTTTCTATCTAATAAAAGCACTTTCCTTAGACGTGACAGAGCAGGAGGTTGTGAAATTGGTACGAGCTGATTCAAAAGTAATCTGAGTCCTTGCTTGCATTCCAAACAAGCAAGATCATAAAGTAAGCTTAAGGAGCAGGTTGTTTCTTAAGGCTTTGACTTCTTTGACTTGCAGAAATAGCTGAATTTTAAGAAGTAAGACACCAGCAATTTAGTTGAATTTTCTGAGTCAATTAAATTATAAGATTTTATCATGGTGTCCAAAATGAATCTGAACTTCTATCTAGCTAAAAATTTTGAGGAAAGTGTTTTGCTTATTTTAAACATTTATGATATATGACAGGGAAACCAATTTTTAAAATCTGTCTGGGATTGTTTTATTGTGCCAATTAATGAATTATTTTCACCCACTTTTATAATTTAAAACCAAATTACAAATGACAAAATGCTTCAATTAATATGTAATCTGTTGCTTTGGAATGATTTAGGATGTATATAGTTCATTATTTCCCTAATCTGACTACTTGTCTGCCTTTTCATTGCAAAAATCAGTATCCTAGTTGCATTGGGAAACAAAAGACACACTGTAAACCCTCTTTCCTGAGACATTTATCATTAAACTGGGCATTCAGAGGCAAAAGCGTATCACCCATTGCAGAGATGACAACTTCAGAAAAAGATTTAGCAGTTCTTTCCTCTTTCTCACTTTCTAGAAATTACTTAGGACTTAAAAGCCACACCAGTTCCGGCCCCTATAGGAAGTGATCTATGTTAATAAATTAACGCTTTTAAGTTTTGCTAAAACTATCAGGTGAGTGAGCCCTTCCCTGGGTAGACAGACCGCATTCATTCTTCAGGTTATGATTTCACTGCCTAGGCTTCATTTTAAGCCCTAATATTATACAGGGAGAGGTTGTGGCCTAGACAGGGGAAGAAACCTGTCCAAAGCTGAGTCAGTGACTTGTCTCTGTCCAGTGTCACCTGTAGCACAAATAGAAGGCTGGTTTTGTTTACTCTGCATTTACCCTGCTGGTGACATCGGCCCCAAAGCCCTGATTCCTTAAGCTGATGATGGGACATGGATGATTATCTATGTGGTAATTTTAAAGTGAAACAAGATGTTTATCTGTGAAATCCAGCTGTTTCTGCAGAATTCAAATTACTTTTATCTTTTTATTTGATTGATGCTTTACTTTGGCTCAAATCTTTAAATTTTACTGTTTTTAGTTTAAAAAAATCGTTTTTCTCTTACAACCATTTCCTATATTTATTACTATTATAAGTCTTACTAAGAAGCTGAAAAATTCAATTGTTTTCTAATTGCATAGCTCTTCCACCTACTTGGGTGGAAACCAGAACAGAAAATGCCATTAGAACCCGAAAGCTATGTCTAAAATCCTGGTTCACAGGAACTACCTCCAGACCCAATAACAGGGGCACTGAGGTTCAGAAAATGTGTATATATTCATATTTTCTTAGACACTCTTACTTGTTTTAATTGCTAGAGTAACACAAAGTGAAATATTTTCAAGCAATCCAGATATGTAAATAATAGACCAAAAATAGAATAGAAAGGACTGTTGCAGTAATATCCCACAGGAGTAGCTATTGTTGATAACGTGGAGTTAAAGTTTTTCATAATTGATCCAGTTATACAATTATTTCAGTAATTAGATCATTTCATGTCCACTGTCCTGCTTTTTCTTTTAATAATAAATATTAAACCTCTTTCTATACAAAAAAATCTATTTTATACACTGTAGATTATTCTACTAGATAGATACAGCATTTGTTTTAAAAATGTATGGTTTAGGAGTGTAACTGAAGAGTAGAGTACATCCTTAGCATGAGGAAAACCATAGGTCCAATCCCCTGCTAATATACGTGTGTGTGTGTGTGTGTGTGTGTGTGTGTGTGGCTTTAAAATATCCTCACTGTTTATGACTTTATGAAACAATAGTTTACTTGAGGAAAGACTCAAAGACTTACAAAAGTTTATAATATAAAGAGAAACCACCTCTTACCCTAACCCTACTTTCTAATGGTAACTGCTATTAATAGCTTGGTGTCATTCAAAATTTTATACAAACTTTCTAACTTATATTTATTAATATAAGCACTCATACTCTCTATCCTTTTTGTGGCTGGGGATTGAGCCCACATATGCATGTACACTAGGCAAGCATAAGTGGTATCCCTATTCCCTAGTATTTACCATCAGCAAGAAGAATGTGATATATTATTGTATGACCTGCTGGTTTTCACTTTGAACATGTGGATAATTCTCCATGTTGGTACGGTTAATCTACCAACAAGAATCCTCTACTGATGTGCATCATTGTTGTTTCTAATTTTTATTATTATAATTAATAGTTAAATAAATTTGTCTGTTTGATTTTTGGTACTAGCGATGATACCTGAGGGTGTTTTACTGCGAAGCTACATTTCCAGAACTTTTTATTTTTTACTTTGAGATAAAATCTCCTTAAATTGCTCAGGCTGGCCTCAAACTTGTGATCATCCTGCCTGAGTCTCGCTAGTAGCTGAGATTGCAGGGCTGCTTCACTCGGGCCCCTAATAGAATAAACATTTATGAACATGGATAATTCAAAGTTCTATTTCTGGAGTCAGTTCTTCTAAATGGAGTTGTTCTGAGAGAAAGGATATATGCGTAAATCTGTAGAGTCGTGTCCTATTTTTACACTGTTCCTGGCAATAACACTGCCACAAGTAAAGTTGTGATTCTGTCTCAGTGTCATTTACCACATACGTCATAGAAGTCTTTGAAAATGATTTCTATTTTGTTGTTTTGATAGTGTTGTGTTTTTTTGTATATCCTTTTATTGGTACATTTTAGGTGTACAACATAATGACATTC